CTTCCTCTCAAGAATCACCCACAATTTATTGGTGAGGTCAAGGTCCAGGCAGTTTCCTGGATCTGGACTCAACATGTTCATGTTTTCTTCCCTGAGGCACTTAGTTTTGACTTTAACCTGATCAAACTGTGCTCATCATTGTTCAGCAATGTTCTTTGATGGTTGGTAAGAGTTCCTCTGGTAAAATGCTTAGGTACCAGTCATTATTCATGTTTGTGTACTGAGGTTGAACTGTGAGTGAGTCCACTTCCTTGGCTGAGAAGAAAGTCCATCCATGACTGGTCTCAAGGTGCTTTAGTGATGGCAGGACACAGGGTCGATGGGCTCACTGACCTTTTTTGTTTTTCAGACAATAATTATTCTGGATGCCCTAAACAATCAAAAGGAGTTCATCAGAGAAAATAACTTCCCTCCGGTCTTTAGAGGACCAATCACTTGACTTTACACAGAACCAGCTCAGTGGCCTAATGGTATGAGTGTCAGCCCTGAGACTGTGAGATCATGGGTTCATATCCACAGTCGGGTCATTACAAAGACTTTAAAAATGGGACCCAATGACTTCCCGCTTAACACTCAGCATTAAGGGGTTCGACTGGGTCAAATGTGGGGAACAAACATCACCAGTGTGTGATGATGACTATACTTTAACCTTGATGTCAGTTTGTCTTTGTTTTGAAGTAAACGAGCTTCTTTGCTGCCCTTCTTGACACCAGACCATTGTCCAAAACCAAACTCTGCTCTATGCAGCTGGATTGACTGCAGGAGATGGTCCTGGCACTTACTGGTCTTTCATGGACATCTTGAAGCCACCATGATCTGCTGAATGTCTCATTTAGGTGCACCCTAGTCTGTGAAGTCCTTCTGTGTGCAAAACAATGAGTACACATGTTGCATTGCTGGTTGAGGAGAATAATGATTTCAAGTGCCCTTCTTCTGTAAATGCATCAAATCTGATATTCTAACTCAATCAGTGCTGCAACTGTTATTATGAAAAGTCAGGAAATGTTTATTCTATATCCCAGAAAGGACAACGTTGATGCCACATCTTCCTAAGAAGTAGCTGAATTTTTATCTAGTGGCACTTGCTTGGTGGAGAGATTGCATGTTAGCAAATGAACCAAGAGAACCGACTTCTTTTTGTGCAAAAAGGAGAATGTACGTTTTTTTCCCCTCAGTCCTCTGATGTTACTACAATGTGACCGTGGCCTCCAATTGTCAACGTCTCTAAAGAGATGCGACTCCACTCCGGTCAATCAGAACTCACACACCTGCCCTTGACTTAACCCTTCTGCACACGTATCATTTATCAACATCCGCCTTATTGGATCATATTTCACCACCTCACCAGAAGCAGCACCGACTGACGTTCCTACAACTGGGTGACAGGTTCTGCTCTACAACCATCATTCCTCTGATTCTAGAGTCAAACATCACAGACGTGTGAGGCTCAGATCCACACAAAACTAACTGTTTGAAGGAACTTGAAGCAGAAAAATGATGCAGCTGCTGAAGTAAAATTCAGATTTAGAGGAATGAAAGCTGCTCTGAGAGCAGCAAAATTGTCGTCTTCTTAACTCCACATCAACTGGGACTTAGGCCCAAACTGCAGCTCTTTGAAAACAGTAGATTAAAAGTAGGATGTCTTTTCTTAGACATCATAAGCCTTTAAATAGAAGAACTCAGGTGCACACCAAGGGACTTAGCTGAGAAGATGGCTAGTGTCCAGGTATAATTAAGGGGAGGAGAACAGAAAGAGTCCCATGCTGATGGGATATAAATCAGCATTAGAATAACAGCAGGGAAGTGAAGCAGACGGAGAATAGCCTCACGCGTCTACCTTCACATTCTCCCGAGGACTTGATGGTTTTCGGTAAAAGAAATCAGCCAGATGGTTGTTAAATTCATTTTGTTAAACTAAGAGCAACTTTCGTCAAGATGGATGGGCAAACGGGAGCAAAGATCAGAACTCAACTAAAGCGTTAGACGAGAATAGAAAGGGAGTGGCAGGTGTGAAAACAAGACGTTTATAACGAGAAGTCAGTTTGTGTAAATGCTTGTTTACAGCGAATCCTTCAGTAACCCTGAGCCCATCCACTTTCCTCAGATTCATCTTTAACGTGTCGCAAAAATAAATGAGCTTCCCGTTTGGTTTGCTCTCCATTCTCCGTCCTTTTTCTGAGCACAACCCCAACAAGCCTGGCAGAGGGAAGTAATAATTAAAGTTTTAATAGAATTCTAAGAGCAAATTCCTGTGGCTCGGCGTGGAGATTCATTACATTTCAGCCTCATCTGGAGATAATCCCCTGGATTAGCTCGGTAAATTTGGGTGACTCAGACTTCATCTTTCTTGTGAGCGTGGGGGATGTAAGCACTACATTACAGGGGTCCAACGTGACCGCGAAGAAAAGTAAAATAACCACAAAATGGGGCTAAAGTGTCTTGGAGAAGCCCAAAGAGGGATAGAATGACTGGGAATTGTGGAGAACTGAAGCTAAATTATACAAAATCAACACAAAGGGAGACAAAATACACGCTACTAATGCAAATAGACATGCTGACTCTGCTCAGCACACACTAACCACGAACTTAAATGTTAATGTAAACAAAAGCTCTGATATTAAAATCCATCCAGCTGACATGATGCAGGCAGAATAAAAAACTCACAGCTAGATGAGCGCAGACTCCTGCCGACAAGCGAAACACCGGTTTCAGTCGTCTCCATGGAGACAGATTTAGAGTGACAGCAGGGCCAGCCAATCACATGTTAGCATGACGCGGCAGAGCTAATCAGTGAGCTTGTGGGTGGGTCTAAGGGTTCAGCTTGAGGAGGCTGCCTCCACATGGTCCTAGTGCCCGACCTGTATCCAAGTATGACAGTTATGGACGGTAAAATCTGACGGAAGACCGAAAAAAGGGCACTTTGGACAAAAGGGGCAGGTGCTCAAGCAACCCCCACCCCCACCCCTGGGGTTGCGATAATTCCTAACATAGTGCAACTAAGTAATTGTGTAACAACTTAGCATGCTAGCTAATATAGTACAATTTACGAGGCAGTTTTTAGCTTTTCTAATTTACTCCTAACTTAAAAATAACGCCTGCAAACAGTCAATGTTGCATGGACGTGCAGATCATGTCTATATTGAGTCTGTCGGTCTGGACCACGACTGCAGGACGTCCAAACTGGGTCTTTGCACAGTGGGACAGCAGCTCAGATCCACCAACAAGCTGGGAAATCCCCCAAAAAACAACAGATCAAAACTTCCAGAACCTCCTCAGATCATGTAAACACATAGTCGGGACCCCACAAAACCAAGATTTTTCTACGGTTTGGCCAGTTAACACACCAAAAAACAAACTACCACCACCTACTGGCTTGGCAGGCCTTTGAATGTGCTTTACAATGCACTGGATTTGTTTTGCTGAAAATGAGGTGGTCCGGACCCAGGGTTTTTTCCTAGGTGAGTGGAGGAGGATATTTGATTTTATAAAAACCTGACATGTGCATGTGTACATGGCTCAGCTCTCTCCTCTCTGCTGGTTCACAATACACACACTTTCTTGCGCGTTAGACATACAGCTCTACCAGCCGACAGAGAACAGGTTGCATTCTCAGACAACAGGTCCGTCACCTAAACGTTTCCTAATGGCCTGATATACTTGCTGTTTTACGACACAAATGCATGTATAAAATGGCTACCACACGTTACTGACGTTGATTTGAAGCACTGTTTGCGCGTGTCCCCTGAAATTAGCGTGACGAGTCAGAACGCTGCAATATACAAGTAACCAGTAGGTGGAGTCGACAAAATGAGCGAGACACACTCACCATGGTGATCCATCTCTGGTTTAGAAGTCTTTCATACCATCTTCGATACCACTGCTTTCTCTTTTTTCTGTCGTGAATTAACCAGTTACTGATCTCTTCTATTGATGCCAAAGTTGTTTTGGCTGTAACCACAAACTCGGCTCTCTGTCTGGTCTGAGTAGTCCAGTGCGCCCCCTCGTGGAACATGCCACTACTACGTGCAGTACAGTGCTGTGCAGCAGCAAGTATGTGAGCAAAGGTGCAGCCTGCTGCCTGTGCCAACGCGAGGTCAAACAGCAAGTAAATCACGGCCCAACAGGACCTGACTGCAAGTAGAACACGGTAAATAACTCAACAAAAGATTCAATTCCTGTTCAGCAGCTCCGGAGAATGAGCAATTTGTGCAGACAGTCGGAGAGCAGATTGATGGATGTGTTATTATCCCGTTATTAAGAACAGGAAGTTCACAATGATTGGAAGAGGACCGTACATTTCAGGAGATTAAAATGAATCCTTTTCGACAAAACATTTAATTTCTTGGCTTCCATTGGTATTTCAAGCAATATGGCAGAAAATGTTCCAGAAAACAACTTCCACCCTACTTTAAAAGTCACTAAATGACCAGAGAAAGAAACTAAATGGTCATAAAGGATGCAAAACATAAACACAAACACACGTAAGATACCAACAGTGGTGCACAACTTGCACAAAAAAGCAAAATGACCTAAAGTAAATGTCACAAACCTGCCACAATGTCCTTAAATTACCTCTATGTCATCAAGAAAGAGAAGACAATGCATTATGATGTTGAAGGATCAAGCCAAATGACTGCATATAAACCCAACATAATCATTAATACAAACTAAAACTGCCCAAATAAGCCCCATAATCTGTGGTGTAAGAAGGATTTATCCACAAAGACATGATAATCTGGTAAAATTGAGGAGTAAATCTCAAAACAGTAGACTCTGAGGAAAAATAAACTCTAAAGAGCAATAACTGACATAAAAAAGACATAAATGAAGAAAAATCTGCTGAAATATAACATGTTGGATAACAAATTTGCTATAAAGAAGGAAATGTTATCAAGAGTGAAATCAGCTCTGAAAGACTTTTTAGGTGGGTATATTAAGGATGAAAAGGTGAGTAAATCTTGAACGCAATCTAAACCAGAGGGTGTGACTGCAGCATCTACCTGCTCTTTGACAGAAGCCAAGAGGTTGGTGGTGGTATCCATGGGGAGGCCCTGACTGCTGGGCCCTTCTGTGACCACCATGGGCCCTTCCCCTTCCGCATCGCCCTCCTCCATACCCTCCACGCTATGGTCCAGAGCTGGCGGACTGGCTGTTCAGGCGCCTTCTCTGACCCTGCAGGATCAAGTCAAAGAGGATGATGAAGATGTGGCTTCATACAAACAAATTTCAGCCTTAGTTGAATCCTGCAGGAATTCCGGGTTTCCTGACCTTATGGTATAACCACTGATAAGATCTGACCCTTTAATATTGCATGCAATAACAAAATTCTCCACCTTTCCATTGAACCTAAAGGCGATCCATGCGCAGGTGAGCGTGCACGCTGCAGGTTGCACATTAAAAAAAACTTCCATTATCATGTGCGCACATGCATCACATCAATCATTCATTCACCATCCGGCAGCCAAGGAGACGAGGTCACACCGACTCTAAGGAGCTGAGAGCGGGGAGCGCGGCTGCTCCCAGCCCGCGACAGCAGCGCGACTCACCGGCCAGATGTTGCTGTTAGATGCAGGCCACAGCTGGCTGGATCCGACCTCTTACATCTTCCTCCTGCAAAGATACACCCGCTACATTTCCCCACGCGCCGACGTCACAAACAAAAACAGTCCCGTGCAGGTCCTAGCGCTTTCCCCCCCACCCCCCTTTAATTTACTCTTATTAATTCTCCCCCTCCCTCCCCCCCGTTTATCTCCGTATTAATCCGTCGTGGGGTTTAAACGCGCCCATCCGTCCCTGGCGTCCGCGCGGCACCCAGCCACCGCGGCCAATACTCAGCGGCGTGACGTCACCATGCGGCTATGGATTATTTGCCGATAGAAGGATCGATCCGCCGCGCGCCATTCGCTGCAGGAGTCGTGCAGCAGCTCAGAGCACTTCACCGATGTGTACGTGTGCCCTCTCCACACAGACCGCTGCAGACCTGAGGGCTTGCTATGGGAATCCCAAGTTTATTTAGTAAAATATAGTTAGACCTTTTACTGGTGAAGGTATATAGCACCTCCTAAAGGTATATTAAATAATATATATATATATATATATATATATATATATATATATATATATATATATATATATATATATATATATATTATGTGCACATCTCAATTAAACAAAACTATTAAAAGAGAGAGAGAGATCTTACAACATGATGGAAAAGAAGTAGAACAAAGAAAAATATTATATTACATCAGCTCATTAATAAGACAAACAGCGTTTAAAGTGACAGAATTGACAGATCCAGCATCTTACCTCTTGTAGAACGTGACTGAAGAGCCTCAAATAAGAGAAATGGCAATTAGTTTGGACAGGACTGACGAGCTAACGGCTAGACACGATGTGGCCATATTCAAAGAAAATTTTAAACAAATGTGGATGTTAACGATGTAAAAGCTATTTTGCTGAGGCTAAGAAGAGAACAGATTCACGGAAATAAAAATGGTTCATTACAAAACAAAAAAGTTTCACATTTAAGCATCTGCTTTGTATCCGGTTTGAACGAGGCATCAGTCTGAGTGCAATCAAGACCCAAAAGTAACAATGTCATACTAAGGCCCTGTCCACACATAGCCGGGGATCTGCCAAAACGTAGATATTTTTCTACGTTTTGGCCTGTCATCCACACGAAAACTGAGTTTTTTCACACGAAAACGGATCTTTTTAAAAACTCCGGGCAAAGTGAAGATCTGCGTTTTCTCCGTTTTGGGTGTCTGCGTGTGGACAGACAAAACCGGAGTTTTAAGGTCCTCAACGTCACTTTCCGCGACAAAAAGATGCTGACATCACGTGTGCGACCTGTGTTTACACTAGCCGACAGCATGGATGCCCTCAGAGCTGCGCTCACTTTATCAATTGTCCAAGCGCTTTTTGCTTGTTTGTTTTTTGCAAGCGGAATTACTGCTCCTTGCGGAAGACCACAGACGAAGGACGAGGTTAAGAACGGGGGAAGTACTGCCGCCTACAGGTCTGGTATGTCCTTAACAACGTATTTATCCGGGTACATGTGGACAGAGTTTTTTTTTAACGAGGTGGTGTGGATGCAAGTTTTTGGAGGGGCGGATATTCGTTTTTTAAAAAAAACCCGGCTACGTGTGGACTAGGCCTAAAACTGCTTCAGATACTCTAATGTTTAGATTTCATTTTTAGGCACTTTTGCAATATTCAATTTATTTGGACAGAAATGTGAGGAAATCTCTGCCATACTAGACCCTGCGGTTGCACAGAAAGTGCAATATTTTGCTGTTGATTGTGAAATTTACACAAATAAATAACAGCATCGGACAAAGAAAAAGTTGACTACAATGTTTGCATTGTGGCAACATTTGGGAGGAAAAAAAACTTGACTATACCAGGGGCGTTTCTTGTACCTTGAAACATTGGGGGCTGAGCCCACCCTCACAGGGGAAACTGGAGGAACCGTTAAAAAAGGGTTTTTATTAAAGCTTTCTTGTGTATTGTAGCACAATTTTTAAAGCCAAATTCTGTCATAAGTGTGTTTATTTTCAAACTTCAATGTGATAATGGAAACAAAATCTATAAAATTAGTATTAGTTGTGGTTAACTGTTCAACTGTTACAAAAGGTCGCTTCTCATTGGTCTAGTTTACTAATGCCATTTGGTATTTTGATCAATTTACCTGCATGGAAGCTATTGAAGAAAATCACACCATTCTCTATGAAAATCTTAATAAAAAGATCAGATTGTGCTAAATATGTTAAAAACTGCCATCTCGTTAAGTCTAGTAAGACCATTGGGAATTGATTTTGACTCATTGTATTACAAAACCTGAAAGCTATTGAAGAAATACATATTTTCTCATTAAAATGATCCTAAATAAATCAGATTCTAATAAATATGTTAAAAAGTGTTGTGTCTCATCGATCTACTTTGGTAACACCATTGGGAAAAGATTTTGATCAATTCATCAAAAAAGCTATTGATGAAAAATACATAATTTCTCATAAAAATCTTAATGACTGGTCCCCGGAAGAATGAAAAAATTAATGCAAGTCAATGGGGCTAAAAATGTTATTTTCTAATCCCGCTTCTAATGTATCATGTATTTCAGATGTGATGTCTACAAATTTTAAAGACATATTTTGATGCCAAGAACGCGCTTTTCAAACTGGAGGAAAATTATTTTAGGTTTTGTGTTAAAATATGTCATCAAACCAGACACGGAGAAAAACAGAGAACTTTTACAAGCTGATAAATCTCAGCATACGTGACTGGCCAAGTTAACGTTGTAACAGATTACATTGCAAGATCAGCAGAAAAAAAAATGTTTTTTTTAAGATATGGAGACGTTTAAACATGTTAAACATCGCATGATTGTGTTAAAATGATTATTTTAACATTTTCACCTCATATTGTTTACAATTTCCCAATCAGTTTGGGAATCTTAACCTGATTTAGGACAATATTTCAGCATAGAAGCAATAATTTCCCTTCTTTCTCAGAGAAAATAAACACGCCACCACACATGTACATGCACATGCTCATTTATTGAAGTGACAATTAGGAGTTTAAGAGCAACATAAGCAGGGTCAAAGGAATGTCTCCTCCTTTAATTAAACAAAAGCACTTTCGTCTAACAGCTGCCTTCTCCTCCGGTCTCTTCACATTAACATTTCACATAATCTAACATCAAAATAAAGCTAAACAGGGTTTTGCAAAATGAAGCCACTAAGGTTCCCACTACAGACTGGACAGAATATTCAACAGCTCCTCAAACATCAAAGGGCGATACATTCACCGTTCCTCGTACTGCAAAGTAAAGTCCAGCGTTGGTCCAGGTTCTGGAATAACACCCAACACGATTTCACACAGAAGATAAATCACACGCCTCCTGTTGGACGCTTTAAATCATCTCCCAGAGCTGCAGCTTTTCCACTTACAAACTAATTGATTTGCTGGATTTATTAAAACACATCCTTCCACTTGGAGCCGTATCTCCATGGACTAGGACTTTACACCCACAGCTCATGACTCCAATTACGTGACTGGAGGCTGAATCGTCCATTAAATGAGACGGGAGTCCTTTACCAGCTGACGTCCTGGCTGTCAGATCTCTATTGTCTGCTGCCCTTTGGGAACCACTCAGCATCCACCTTCCAGGAACATCTCACACTTCCCGGCTGCTTCTTAAAGATCTCTTTATTTCTTCTTCACTGCTGACTTGAAAGGATTTAACGAAACATTTTGTGTCGTTTTACAGGTGTCCACACTTTCTCCTGTAACAGGTTGTTTTTTGTGTTTTTCAGCCAAAAGTTGTTTCTTCAGATACAAAAACACAGTGGTAAATGTTTCTCTACAGAAACACATCAGGGTAACCATAATCTACCGTAATCTAACTCTTGCTACCTAAAACTATGACATGTTAGGAGGGTGTGGTGAGCTGGAATGTTTGTTTGTTTGTTTGAGGAAAATTTGAAAAGAAGCTATATCATGTATTATTCTGTTTGTTATTATTCTATCAGGCAGTTCTGTAGTGACTTTAACTTGATTATTCATAAAGTTTATTTATTTATTATTTAATTAAATTCCCACTGTGGCCTTAACATAATATTAAGTATGATGTAACAATTATCCCAAGGCATTATGGGTATTGTAAGTCTACTGTGCTGGTTTAGGTTTTGATTCACCCTTTAATGTCAAAATTGTTTTAATCTGTAAACATCTGGACTTTTTCTAACATTTTAATTTCATTTTTCAAAGATTTCCCCTGGAAAATATCTGCAAATATGAATTATTTTTCGTTGACACGTGGCGTTTATTTCATAAATGTTCCTAATTCTGTTGCTACTTTATTGTAAAAATATTAGATTTTTCCCAACATTTAGATTTCATTCTGAAGAGCTATTTTAACTTTCCTCTTGTTGTTTCAAATTCTGGAAACATAAAAGAAAATCTGGACAGTTCAACTTTATTTTGAAAGTCTTCCAAATCTTTAGAAATTCTGACTCTTATTTTGGATTAAATAAAAAATCCTCATAATCTCAAATTAATTTTAAAAATAGTTTTGTTTTGTCCTCAATATTTCTAATTTAATCTGGACTAAAAATATTCAAATCACTTCTCAACATTTCATATTGAGGAACTAATATTTAAAAAATTTCCTTCATTATTTGGAATTAAATCTATTCCAACTTTAATCTGCACACCTGATTAAAAACCCCTCTGAGTGGTGACCCTAACCCTAATATGCCCTCGTACAAAAACCCACGACGACACAAGCAGGCAGAAGTTTAGTTGGCATATTTAGAACTCACTTTTAAAATAACCAATCCGCCCAAAGAAAATCTGGTTCAATCTAACGAAGGAAGCCACTTCCCGTTCCCGGCTGAGGGAAAACCCAGTTATTTAACAGTAAAGGGGAAGCTTGGCACCAATGCTAATGTGGTTGGGAACAGCGTTTTGAGCTTTGATTTTGGCAGGTAAACTTGAATCACAGCTAAACAATAGCAGAAGTTTCAGTGGGATCATTAAAAAGCAACTAAAAATGGTTTTTGGCTTCTTTTCACACCGGCTGAGCCCGCCGGTGCTCCTCCGATCACAGCCACAGGGTTAATGTCCCCGTAATCGATCGTACGCACAGCAGGAAACCCTGATAGAAACAATACGTCACATCACTGGAACCACGATTCGTTAGCACAAACATCAAAACGCTACCAACTCGATCTTCATACAACCCGGGAGAGAAGCCAACAGCAGCTGGAAAGGAAAAGTGTAAACGAAGCAGCGGCTGCGGGTTTCTGACCCCGAGTCAAACTTGTCCTTCAAATCGAGGAAATCACAAACAGAGAGGTACAGCCAGCACCGACGGATCAACGCCAAACAGCTGCTCTTAAAGAGTTGAGCAAATAAATAAGGAGGACAGGACCTTTGCATAAACATAAGTACAAACCCTAACAGTCAGTGGATGTATAGTAGATGTGAGTGAACTCGGAGGGGGGGGGGTGAGGAACAGCCACCCCCCTATGGTGTTCCTGAACAGAACCTGAGAGCACTACTCCAGATCATCCACGTCCTCCGTCATGATGGTGCTGGTTTGTTCTGATGTCACACCTGTTAGCAGAGAAACAGAAAACCAAGTCTCACTTGATAGAAAAAGCCTTTTTCTGCAACCTGCTTGTGAGTAAACACAAGATATTAACACATTTTCATGATCTGTGTACAACTGAAACATTAACAGGTCTTAAAAAATGTATATTTTCTCCATTCTCAGCAACAAGCCTGGGATACGGGTCCATATGTTTGCTGTGGGTGGTCAAGTTTTAATAATGGTGTCACCGATCTGCTCTTTAGTAAAAGTCAGTGAGGGTCTGTGGTTCCATTCAACAGGAAATTTTAAATTAATCCAAAAATATGTATGTTTAATGAAAGTTAACTATATGGTAGTCCCTTACTATAAAGTGGCTCACCTCTGGCGCCCTTGCTGTTTCGCAATTTGTTTTACGTCGATAAATAAAAGGTGACAACAAAAATCCGAAAACGGAAAAGATAGGCGAACGGAAAAAATAACCAATCGACAATTGGGACTGGCGGGACTAGACAAGAAAATAATCAGAGTCCGGATCTGAACGGTGTTTGAACAAGCTAGTGGTAACCATTATATTAATAAATGTTTGCATGCAAATTCTCCCAAAAATTAGATACACGGCTTTTGAATATCGATATAATATCGCTGGGGGAAAAAAATCACGATATATTGCAATATCGATATTTTCTAAAATACTCATACTTATGTATGTACTTACATACTTTATAACATACTCATGTTTACATCATACACAGTTTCCTTTTCACCTCGTATTCTAATTGTATGTTTATTTATTTGAGAGCTAGACGTGTTTTTATTTCAGGTCTGCAGCCTTCAGATTCAGTCACTCCAAGTGATGCTCTGTTATTTACCTGTAGGTGACGTTACACAAAGTGGGCGGAGTCTCTAGAAACAATAAGTAGACCTCTGACTGGGGAAACACTCCCGACTAACTAGACTGCTCACAAAATGGTGGCTAAGTTCTAGTTTTAACAACAAAGTTTGCTCCAAAAATGCCTCGCGGATGCATTCGAAGGCTAATTTAAACCGAAACGGACCTCACTAGCACACTTGTGCAGATGCTGTATCACTTTGATCATGACCAAAAAAATGCCTTTCTGGAGTTTTTACAGTAATTCCCTTAAATGTGTTTTATAAAGTGATAATCGGTTTCAAACTGCTTCAGGAGTTGTTTTCAAAAGTCACAAACTGATACTTGAGGCATCGTCGTCATTTGAAGACTTCATCTTCGGCTCCACGTAGCCATGACTCAGCAGCTTGGACATGCTGACCGGAGGAGCCTTCTTATCGTAGGATCTGAGGAGGCGGAGGCAGGATTATAACCACCGCTCTGCTTTAGAGCGACAAGACCAAATGTGAGGAGAACGGCGTCTGGTTCTTACATCCTCTTGTACTTGCTGGTTAGTGACAGACCCTCCATCTGATGGGCGACGCCATCTGGAGACATCTGTGGGGCGGAGACATTTTTTTACCCGTCAGCAACAGAAATGAATGCTGCTGGACTCAATAACGCAAACATATGATGGTGGCGGTGTGAAACACATCAGAGGAGCAAAGCAATCAAAATGGAATGAGTAAGGGAAAAAGAACAAGTCATGCAATGAAAATTTATTTTAAAACAGGTCAATTAAAATGTAGGCAAATAGTTATTATATGAGGATTATAAAGTAAACATTCTAATCCAAGATCATCTACTAACATCAGATTATTGGCTTCAGCATGAACTTACATCTGAAAGACACGATGAATAAAACACCCTAGAGTTCAAACGGTATAAAACTCGTGATTACAGTAATACATTCATCACAGAGCGAGTCATTCTGAGGAAATTCCAAAAGCATCAGAAAGTTTATCGTCCCCACACGGCCTCCCCCGTTCAGACAAGGCTGAGCCTCTGAGTACCATATGTCATGAGTACGAGGGCTTTTCATTGGTGCTCGAAACACCAGACTTTAGGATAAAGTTAAATGCAGGTAGCCTTTGTGGTGTGATTATACTTGGCAAGATGAAAACGCCCACACTTACAACTGCCGATTAGACTTCGTGTTATGACAGGACATGCATTAGCCCGGGGCTTTTATTCTGAAGGATTTATGTCTGCCAAATGATGCAAAAGATGGACACTTTGTTTTAAGCTATCGTTGCGTTAGCTGTAAGTAGCTGGTGTGAACAAACATGTCTCAGCCGTCTTTATTGGTGCCGCTGGAAATACAAACTTTAAACGTGATAATAGAGTCGTTACAGGCGTGGCTAACAACCATCCAGCGCTCTACAAGCTTGCCAAGGCAAAACTCGCTAGCCTAGTGGACTAGACCAAATTTTTGCTTTGCAAAGAATGGTCTAGGAATGCTCCATTGGAACCTCTGCAGCTCCTACCAGGACTCTGGCTGGCCAATCACAGCTCTCTAGAGGGGTTTCAAACACATAAAGAGCTGTGATTGGTCCATAATGGTGGGCCAATCATAGTGCTCCATCTGCTTAGTGAACAAATCACAGAGCTTTATCCGCTTTGTGGGCCAATCAGGGCACTCTATATGCCTGGTGGGTGGGATGATGCAACAGAGTGAAACAAGAGTATGTCACATTCATCGTCCAGTGGAATGCGGAGATCATTTGAAAGACAACAGTAGAACCCGCCCCACAACCGAGAGCCGTCAATGGAGTGTGGCCAGACTAAATCATACATTTATTTAGTCTGGCTTGCCAAGGCAAAACTCTCTGCTATGTGGTCAATTTTACCATAATAATCATTCAAACCTGGAACTGTTTCATCATCGTTAGACACGTAAAATACATCTAGTATAGTAAATAAATGCTATCACTTACCTAATTCTCACCACTCAAGAAAGCTTCTGCAGAGAGTTAAACTCTAAAATAAATCAGAAACGCGAGAACGAAGAAAACGAGAGGGAAAGGTGATGGTGAAACTTAAATTATGACAATTGGGGATGAGATGACGTCTGGATGGTAGGAATGTTGGGGGGTGGATGTTTGATTCGTTCACCTTCTCTTTATCTGGGGAGATTATATCGGTCTCTCTTTCCCAGGACGAATCGTTATCGGTGCCGAACGGAGCGGCCAAAAGCTGCCTGCCTGCCTTCTGGCTGTCGGGAGATGGGGATTTACTTCCACTGAAAATACAAAACCACGGCGACACGCCGTGTGAATGCACCGCTCATAGCCTCAGAACACTTCCATCGTTTTCTCTCGGGAGCAAAAGCGTTGGTCCTGCTCCACACAAACAAACTTCACGATGTTTGGCTTCCGGTCTAATCGGAGCGCTCACCTCTTTTCATCTCCTCCGAACCAGTTGGAGGGGTTGTAGGGCTTCTTGGGTTTGTCATCAGAATCCAAATCATGACTCAGCAGCCCTGCGGGAGGAATGGTGGAAATGAAACCGGAGCTCTGTGAGAAATAATGACGCGTCGTTGTTCTTCTTTAAACAGCACAATGTGGAATTTACATTTACATCACACCCCAATCGGCTCAGCAGCTGAACAATTACTGAAAACATTTTAATTATGGTGGTGGTTGTTGGGGGGTGGGGGGGTGGGTGGGTGGGGGGGGGGGGGACGTTTCCACACAGGAAACAAACTCAGCAGAGAGATTACCAACTTGGACCTGAGAAACCTCCCACGGGAACAAAGGCATTAATAAGAGATGGAAAACTTCTTTTACCGTACCGTCAGCCTAACGCGACGGCTCTAAATCAGAACCAGACGACATGGTGTTGTGGAATCCGTTGGGGGCAATAATGGGTTTTATTTGTGGACGATGCAACTCGTAAAACAAGACATACAGTTAAGATTAAAGACTGTCTTATCTTGAGCGACTCAGAACTATTTAGCTGTGTAGCAGAAGGCCTTGATGGCCACATGGTGTTTGATGTGAGAGCTACGACGAGTTAACAACACCCTTCACTTCCTGTTTGGAAGAGAATAAAATATTGCTCAAGTCTGTGGAGGCTCGGGAGAGAATTCTGTATCATTGGAGTGGTATGACAAACACGCCTTTTACACCACAAGGTGGTTTTCTAACATACGTGAACACATACGCTTCCCCTTATTAGACTTTGTTTTAAAACTAGGGGTGTACAGAATTGTTGCTATTCATCAGTTTATGAAATAAAATAGATGTTTTTATTGAGAATTAACACGCACACATTTTCTGTATCTTTTTGGTGCCCTGCAATTCCAACTCCGACTGCTAGGTGGCAGCAGACTTTACTGCCTTTATTCTGACGGAACAAGATCCTACGGTAACATAGGATGTGTCTCAGGAGTGTCAGGCCTGAGTTTTCCAATTGAATTCTGTCTTAAAAATTGCAAATATCGTCTGGCTTCTAGTATCACGAATCTATATACATAGTTTCATCTCCATGTCACATCGACAGGTTCTTGCCAATACACACCCCCTAGTTAAAACCAATTTCTGTGACATTTAGTTACAAATTCAAGAACGATCAAAACCTTAAAGGTTCCAGATCGTGCTATTTTAAACCTTAGAGATAGAGACCAATGGTAGGCAGAGTATATCATAAAATATTACTGTTGGCACTGTTGCACACCTGCAGACCTGTCGCTTTTGGGCAAAAATCACCGTTTTAGAATCCAAATGTGGCGTTCACATGTTTCGAAGACTTTTGGTTTTTGGGGGGCGGGGGGTGTCTTCTGTCGGGTTTCAGCGATGGGTTTCAGTCACTCTTATGGAAATCAATCAGAGAAAGGAGAGGGGACTGCTCTTGTTCAAAAACAATCTTTGTTCTAGTGTGTTAGTCACGTGTCATCATCTGACCAATCGCAGTCAGAGACAGCACGCTGCAGCCGATGTGGCAGAGCGGCATTCACAGGGAGTACGAGTGCTGTCGCTGTAACTTCTCGCAGCGGTTTTGAGCTTAAAGTTCGTCAAATAGAACTAAATCACCACTAAATAACTGTTTTCTGTCAAGGACTTTAGCAGATTTACCTTTAAAGACTTTTCCCGAGGCTGGGCGTGCTCTTTTTGTTTGTTTGTTTGTTTGTTTGTCCTGGAGTTGAGTTCGGAGTAAACACCGCCAGTAATATTAATTACATAAATACTATTTCTGGTAAGAAATGGCCACCACTATGCTACAGCCGTGCTCGTTTAAAACAAACCCCAATAAATGGATCTGGGCTCCAGAAGATTTAAGGACGCTGGAGGAGAAACACGTGATGAGATCATTCCTAATATTGTTTGTAAAACTTAATTTCAGAGAAACTCTGCCCACTCCTGCTCTGACAAAAAGTGCCTACGTCAACAGCGTCGTAGGTGAAACATTTACAACCCCAAGCATGGGTTTGAATCCAAATGACAAAAGGGGGCGGGGCTTTGTCTATGCAGTTTTCTTCGCATCACAAAACATACCTAATCCTAACGGAACTGCTTGTTTTGTTGTAAAATAAATGATTGTTTGTTTCTTCTCATGACTGTGTGGCATGAACAACAAAGAGCTCACCTTTGTGCCCCCCCTGCTTTGCGAGCTTCACGTACTCCGAGTCGGACTCAAATATTCCAACTCTCCGACCGCTGATCCTCTCCACCTGGGCGTTGGCCTCGTTGGCGCTCTGGGACAGACCCGGGATCTGCGAGGTTGGTCCGGTCACACCACTGTTAGCAGCCCCTGGCTTTATGCCTGCAAGGAACCGATGATTTCATCAGCTTGGCTTCGTAATGGTTCCACAGAACCATTTTCTGTGACATTTGAGCTTTACAAATCAATCAAAATTCAAGAATGCATTCATATAAACTTCTCCAACAAAAAAGCAGCAAGATCTCAGTCAGATTAATGAGATTAGCAGCAGCTAAGGCTGGAAGATTAAAAGAGTTCTTCGTGCTGTAGAGAAGCCACATTTTTGGATGTTTACATGTAAACAAACCACCGATGCTCACGAATCCTTTCTAAAAACACTCACAAATACTGACAGGAGGTAACGGGAGTCTTACCACCAGGCTTGGTCCTTCGATGGTTGGGTACAGCAGCGCTCATTTTAGCTGGGGGATAAATCTGGACAGAGAAAGTGGGACAAATTATGTTTTTTAGCAGGGATTTTATAATAAGACAAAGGGTGATGAGCACCTATAGCTGTTTTCTTTATTAAAACAGGTTTTAAAAAACACCTTTTTTCTATATTTTTGTAAATTACTGGAAGATCATCCCAGTTTTATCATTTGAATTTATGTTTTTCTATTCACATCTCCTAAACACTGATCAGAAATGTCCTGATTAACTCAGTTTACACTTTAAATCTACTTTAAATAGAAGAAAGACATCTTTAAAGGGGTGATTATAAAGTGCAGTTGCACCTGGACTGAGTTTTTAACCTTTTTTAATTCTAACCTATTGGAAATAAAATCCGCTGCATCAAAAAATACCAAGAAGGACCCACATCTCATCGCTGGACAAACAAATGTTGTTAAATTGAACTAAAATAATTATACAAATTATTCCCTTACATGTAAATCAACAACTGTTTATTCTGCTCATGCATCATTTCTAAATTAACTCAGCATTTATTCAATATGAGTGGGAAGAGGTTTTAATGATAGAAAACACTTTCTATCTTTAAAGTTTCCATAATTTAAAAAAAGGAAATTGTTTTCTAAACGAAAACAAGCTTATTACAAACCTAAAGGGCATTTATAAACGACACTAACGTTAAAACAGCACAAGAGAGAAACTGCAAGTATTTTCCTCTGAATAAGATGGCAAACATATTACCATTGTACTTTACTTTACATTTAAACATTAATGAAGTCATCAATTGAGACGTCAGATCAGATTAAAATAAACAAATTCTGCATTCTCATACCGGCATCCACACAGATTTAACGCATTTCATTGACAAATTTAAAGCCCATTTCCAGACTTAGAAACTGAGTTCGATCTTTAAATGTAATATTTCATCCTGAAATGCAGGTATGCAGTTTTAATCCAAAGCATTTTAGGAGAATCTCTAAAGAATACATTTATTTAGGAGGCTAACAAAGCCATGCTAACAAGCTAGCCGCCTAGCTACATATATTCAGCGCCGCAAAAGAGTTCATTAGTACCTAAACAGATAAAAATGGCACAATAATTGGATAAAAACCCGCAATATCTTACATTATTTGTGAAAAGATTATCCTTGTAGTATTTGAGTGGATTGTTGTAATTAAAGACCGCTAGCTTCTTATTCTTTCAGGCTGAGCTTTTCCTGCGGCACCTGCTGCTGACTTCCGGTAAGATAGTGTGAATAATAAGATGTCCAACTCTGTTACGTTTTGATTACCGGTAGATCCTCCCTCTATAGACCAGACGGAGTGAGCGCTCAGTCGAGCGCAAATAATGTAATAGAGGGGAAAGAGACGATCTTTGGCTTCGTGTGTAACAGAGCCTTTATTGTGGACAAAACACAAATAATCAAAAAATAAAACAAGCTGATTTAGTTCTTGTTTGTTAGAAATTTTATTGACACTTCTTTGATCTTTTAGCTTCTTATTTTCTCATCAAATACTAATTAATTACGCCTGACTATTAAGGACGTAAGTATCTGCAATTCAACAAGGTAAAACGAAAAGCTTTTGATGTTTTTTGCTACAATTTGATTTGATTGAATTTAATAATTTACAAGCAAAATTTGCTCCATTATGTTTTCGATACATTAATATAAATGACAAAATGACAACAAAAAGCCAAGTTTGGCACAACATTTACATCCATAAAAAACAAAAATACCCAAGTTTGCTTGGCAACTTCTGATTTTATTAGAGAGAAATGGTGATTACAACATGCATTATTAGTAGGAACATATTCTCATGCTGTTATATTATCTAAAATGTATATTAAAGTGACAATGTGTAGGTTTTACCCTTGATCTCTGGAAACATCCATTGAAATGCTCTTCAATAGCAATTAAAGGATGCTAGTTGTTAAAAAGTATTGGCAGCTTCGTAACATAGATTCATAAAAAGCGGGTCTAAAATACATGGAAGCAGGTCTAAGTCTCTGGGAAACACCATATTAGACACAATGTTTCCTTCTACGGGAGCCTGTGAGGACGAAACACATTTACTGATTTGCAACAAGCGGTTACAAAACATTTGCCGTTCATAAACATTGTTTTACAAGTTTACCTTTGCACTCGTTGCCAGTGATGAAAGGGAGTCTGGTGTACTTGCCCTATTGCTGGATGTTGAATGAACTGACAAAGAACTCGGTCGAAAATTGCGCTCCCAGGGATTTTTCACCCTACTGACCATCTGTTGATTAGGTCTCACTAAAACACAAAAATACTGCCTCCTTGCAATGATGTAGGTATGTACTGCCCCCTATTGCCAGGGAAAATACACACTGTCACTTTAAGTATTATGCAACAAAGTTATTACCCAAAACGAAGCATATTTGTTGACTAATATTATTGTTTACTTTCAGATGAAGAAGCTACTGTAATATAAAGAACATTGTGAAATAAAGTCGTCATCATACAGAATATATCACCACTGCACCTTTGTTAATGTATGATAAATGACATAAATAATGTGTCAGACTGGGAGGAGGCTTCCAAACTTTCTTCAGAGGACTTCAGATGTCTTTTCCACAGTCGGGACAGAGGATGTCCTGTTTGAATGTCAGGAAGCCTCGACCGACCAGTGACACATCACACTTTTGGCAGTTGAAGCAGTCGTTGTGCCACTGGCGATCCTCGAATGAGATGTACTTGCTTCCCCCAAGACCTGAAATAAAAACAACAGGGAAGAATCGCATTCAATTAAATTAAATTCAATTCAATTCAATTTTATTTATATAGCGCCAAATCATGACAAGAGTCGTCTCAAGGCACTTCACATAATAAACATTCCAATTCAGGTCAGTTCATTAAGCCAATCAGAAAAAAAATGTTTCCTATATAAGGAACCCAGCTAATCGCATCAAGTCACTGACTAGTATCAGTGACTTTACAGAAATCCTCATACTAAGCAAGCATATAACGACAGTGGAGAGGAAAACTCCCTTTTAACAGGAAGAAACCTCCAGGGCACATATGTCAGACTCAAGGCATTTTTATGTGGCCCGCGAGATAAATATCAAAAATATATTAAAACTGGCCCGCTGGCCGATTTTACCGCAAAGACTTCAACTTCCATGATGCTTTGCGGCGTCAGCGCAGAGCCGACGTGCCTACTTCTTTGTGTTTTTTTCAGCGCCTGCTGCCGGTGTCTGCAGCTCCGCTGTCTCGGACAAACTACACTCCTCTCACTCAGCGCCGAGTTCACTCAGCTATTTTCTGATGTTGAAGCCCAGAAACGGAGATTCTAGTCGCTCAGTAATGTGTTCACGACTGAAAGAGAAAGTTTTCCAACTAACGTCCAGACAGAGCTGATATAACTCCGGCGAGCAGCGACACGCTCAAACCAGCACAGCTCTGTCGTTGTGTTTCCTCCCCGACACACAACAACGTGGTCAAGCTGCTCAGACACGTTCATCAGCACAAACCTATGTGAGCACCTGTTGTCATCTAATGTTGTCATTATTATGATGAAGATGAACAAAACAACAGGAGTCTCCTCCTCAGCTCAGATCAACCCCATGATGCAGGTATCTGGCTGGAACAGGTGAGCATCACAGTAAACCAGTGGAGCAAACTGAGCTTTAAATATGTTGGTTTTATGCTCTTTTTCTGCTCCAAAACATGAAAGTTAACAGGTGAGATGTTGCATTTTCATTTAAGATAAAATGATATATTTATTTTGTTGTTGGCCCGTGAGAAAAGGTTTAACCTACAGTAAACAGGAAGTGGAAAGGCTGCAGATAGATTAATAGAATAGAAAATCCCTTTATTGTTCCTCAGTGGGGAAAGCTAGATGTCACAGCAGCGATGACACTTATTACAGGAGAAATAAAGGAATAAAAAATAAGAAAAATGAATAAACAAAAAAAAACAAATCCTGAATAGATTTATAAAATGCTGATTATACCACAAGTAATGAATACCACTGATGCCTTTTATTTAAAACTGACTTGCTCATGTGTAATTTGGTTATTCCACATTCAGTGTTAATGCAGAAATATGTTTGTTTCCAAATTTAAAGGTTCAAAATTGCATACATGTTGATAAAGAAAATGTGCAAATTTGCCTTCACTTTTTCAAAAAATATTAAGTTTGGCCCTCGACTCCGTCCCAGAGTTTCATTTTGGCCCTGTGGGAGTTTGAGTTTGACACCCCTGCTCCAGAGAATGCTGTCTCAGTATAAGCAGCCATCCACCACGACTCACTGGGGATCGAGAAGACAGAGCAGACACACACACACACACACACGCGCGCGCGCGCACACACACACACACACACACACACACACACACACACACACACACACCAAGCAATGTGTCCATGGTTACACCGTGATTGCTTAGTAAATATTCTATTTGGCGAGAGATAAACTTTATTGTATTTATCCTAGTGAATCTATTGTTAAATGGGTAAACTAGCAGTAGCACATCCAACATCAAGGAAACAAAAAGTTATTATCAGGAGAGGGAGAAAGTTTAAGTGGTTAGCAGCAGTGTGCATGATCTCTGTAATCCGATTACTCTTTAAATGATGGTGATTGGACGCACAGGGCACTGAGAGAAACACATGACCCAGGGGGAGGCTAAGCTATATTAGGTGTCTTTTAATTTATGGCTGGCCTTTCATTTAGATCTCACTCAACCTTTTTAAATGTGGAATTAAACTTGTTGTGGTTCGAGATTCCTAAGTACTGAACTTTGACTTATAAGGAACATCTTGGCCGTGATAAAGTTCTCGAACTCCATTTAACTTTTGTTTTAATGGGTTGGCAAAAGTTTTTGTTATTTCAAAGGGGACCAAACAGGCATATCTTTCTGTTGAAGACCCATTGACTGATTGTGTTGTAAAGCGCATTGGGGGGTTCCAGGACTATAGAAGGCGCTATATCAAATGCAGACCATTTACCCATACTAAACTAGTTGTAACACCTTGGTGGTAATGAGTCTCTCATCAATGTGGAGGAAGTTTGTCCCAATCTTGTCTGTATTCAGCAGAACGGCCTGTTTACGGTCAAAGGTCAGACATTCTCCTTCATGGTTCCATCAATTACCACAGGTAGTCCTGAAGCAGCAAACCAGCCCCAGACCATCACTCTACCACCACCATGTCTGTATGACATGTTGCATTTACTTACGTCACCTTTGACGGATGTTAAAATTTGTTCACCGTTTTGAAAAATTTCAAATGTGACAAAGGTTGTTGTTTTTTTAAGTAAAAGAAAAAAGCAAAAAAAAAATGTAAGGGATAAAATCATTTTTCAAAGCACTGCCGAACTCCCCAGGGCAGGAATAGCCACTAACCTGTTAAAATATCCTAAGTAATAATGGGCAACGTACCCAAGTAAAAAATGAATGTTTCCTTTGGAATGTTGATACTCCGATGAGAAAATGTCATGAATGAGACGCCACTGTACCCATATCCGCTCATCTCTACATGGTGTAAAACAGCATTAGCTATGCTGAAAAGAGCTATAATTTACCGCTGATTGGGGTGGTGCAGTAAGCACATGTCTTGGCAAACAGGTTGCAGAAGCATTCCAGGCAGTAGGCGAGGTCATCTCGAGAGGTGAAACGCTGGCCGGCCAACTGCATCTTGCACCCGTTGCAGACAAAGCACTCCTTGTGCCAGGGCTGGTCACGGTAGCTCACCCCTCCAGCAGTAATGGGCTGAAAAATGAGAGGCAGGATTAGGACAGCTAAAGAAACAGTTTTATTTATTTAGTGTTTCTTTTCACTGGCTTTTGTCTGAGATGGAATTATTTAACAAACGAACAACGCATTAGTAAAGTTCATGGTATTAAAAGAGTGGTTGACCTTTTTAATCAATACATTTACAGTGGTCTCTAGAAGGAATGAATGACTTGTAAGTCGTTGTTGGGGGAAAAAATATACAGACGCACAATTTCTCGGACCAAGAATTTACCCACATATTTGGACATCTCGCCCCGGACTTAATAACAGCAACGTAACTTCACTAACAACACAAGCCCGGAGGAACTTCTGCTGTGTGGTAGAGCTGCTAAAGCTAACGTTTAGCTTCACCTAGCCGATCTGTCCGCTGCTGATTCCCGGATGTTAAAAAAACAACAGCTTTTCCCGTCATGAGTCGAAATTGGTGAGTCCATGAATGCTACTTCAGTGTGATGTAGAACTGTCCAGCGTTTCTAATCCTAGAGTTTCACCAACCATCAGAAGCTAATGCAGGAGATAGCTGTAGGAGACTATTTTCATGTTCAGCCTGCATGAAACACAGAGTGACTCATTATAATTGTAAATAATCATTAAAAAAAGTGTTTTCAGTGAACAAGGCCTTTAATTGATCAAAGCACTAATGCTAAAAGCTTAACAAGAATGCTGGCTTCAAGTTTTGTTAATAGTTTAATAAAAAGATTATGATGAAATCAGTTTTCATCACACACTGGTGAAATTCACCCCCACATTTGACACATCCCCGTGGGGAGTGGGGAGCTGCAGCGGTGGCTACGCTCGGGAACCGATAGGTGGATTATGAATGAATGATGTATAGCGCCTCTCAGAGTAAGGACTCCAAAGCGCTTTACACTACAGTGTATCAGTCATCCATTCACACACTGGTGGGGATGAGCTACGATGTAGCCACAGCTGCCCTGGGGCGCACTGACAGAGGCGAGGCTGCCGAGCACAGGCACCACCGGTCCCTCCGACCACCACCAGCAGGCAAGGTGGGTTAAGTGTCTTGCCCAAGGACACAACAGCAGAATTCTCTGTCCGGAGCCGGGATCGAACCTGCAACCTTCCGATTACTGGACAACCCGCTCAACCTGTTGAGCTACTGCTGACCCAAACCTCTCAATCCAACCCCTTTAAGGATTTTATAAGTCTTTGGTATTTCCCAACTGGGATTTGAACCCCGATTTCCCAGTCCCCGGGCGGACACTCTACCACTAGGCCACTGAGGAGTTTAATGCTAATTCAATGGGTTTTAGAAGACAACAGATTAAAGGATCACATTGATAAATGATCCTAAGAAAAGAAATGTGAGTTTGTCTAAGTGTAGAATTTTATTTTTGCACTTTGATAGTGTTACTGCTCTTTTAGATCAGCTACTGTGTTCAGTTTGTCCAAAAAAGAGCAGATAAATCAGATTAAACACCATCTTTTGTAATAGACTCCCCATGTGTTTTAAATCTGAATCAATTAGAGAATAAACAAATAGAAAAACATATTAGTAACCCAAGTGTAAGAAATTGGCTCACAGCAATCCTCCAAAATGAAATTTTAGAAACTATGTATCCTTTTGTGCACTTTCTCTGTCCTCATAAGGACGGGCTACAGAGCTTCCTCCGACTGAAGTAAGAGGGGTGGCTGCTGCGCCGCCTACCAGCTTTTAGCACAAAAAGACGCCTCCGACTCCTGCCTGCTCGGCCATCTGTTTCCTGTTATGTATCACATGAGCCTTCTTCCCTCCATGCATGCAAAGCCCAAAAAATCTAATATGCTCCCTAAGGCTGGGAGAATGAAACTCTTGTTGTTACCTTCATGCAGTGAACACACTGTAGAGCAAACTGCTTCTCGTAGCAAGACATGCAGTAGTTTTTTCCATCCTTCTTCACAAAGCTGTTGGTGCCAATGGGCTCCTGGCAGAAGTTGCAGATGAAACACTTCTCATGCCAACTGTTGCCTTTATGCTCCATCTTCTTGGTGCCTGGAGGGCGAAGAGGAGATGTGAAAGAGTGGAAAACAATCGGCGGCGTATCAGCGCACCATCCACGGACCGCTACAGTGTCTGAAACTGGTAGCACGTTTCCAATTGTGCGTTGTTATTAATCTCTGAATAAATTTTAACCAAAGTAATCATTGGGTGAACACATGTCGGAGTCAGCCCGATTAAAAATGGTGGCTACAATGACTACACATCAGTTAGTTTCGCAATATCTGAGCTAAAATGAGCATTCTCACCTGGCATGATGGTGCTGAGGCACGCGTGGCACTTAGCAGAATACTCGTTGCAGTAGCAGTCTGTGCAAATCACCAGGTCGTTCTTGGTGGCAAAGGGCCGATCGACGAGTGATCGGCTGCACTTGCTGCACAGGAAGCACTCGCTGTGCCAGTGGTGGTCCTTGTAGGACAGATCCTACAGAATTCAAGACAGATCCTTTAAAAATCCCATTTCACACAACTGTTGAGCCTCCTGATCCTCAGCTGTGTGACATAAATCACATTTCTGCTGTAGTAGAAAGAGGTTCTATTAGATTCAAACAGGAATCGGATTATTCGTGAGCACAAGTTATAATCAAGCCATACTTCTACAACAGGAAGGTCAATGTTACAAGTTTCTCTGGAATCTTTTCAGTTTAGTGTTGGAAGCAAACCGCATAAATGAAGGATTTAGGATGGGGAGTTTAACATTAAAGGTTTGCAATTAAAATCCATCCAGAACTTCACCAAACATAGCCGAGACACTGGCGTAAGTTCACCTTGCTGGTGCAGCTTATGAGCTTCTTGCACAGCTCACAGCTGCTGGAGAAAAGCGCCTCGTAGCACTTGATGCAGTATGGATGCTCCTCCTTCAGGATGTACTTCAGCCCGTAAAGGGAGTCCTTACACTCGGTGCAGTCGTAGCGTTCTGACATTTTGGCTCAAATCCCCTTTTAGAGTCCTCTGATCTGCAAAATTATATACAATTATTTCATAAAAGGAGCTAAAACAGTAACATAAACACACATAATCATTTAATCACAAGAAAATGATATAAAGGTTCTGAAAATGAGGACAACGGGCCACCTAAACTAAGAGAATTTCTACAGTTTTGATGTGTTTGTTTAGTTTTTTACTTTACGCAGTTTAAAAAAGCACTGCAAATAGAAGTTGGAGAATTATCTTCTGTTACATGGAGGATTATTTAATTAAGGTTTTTCGTGCTGAAGGAGCTAAAACGATTAAATAAATGTTGCATCCTGTTGAATGTAGTCTTCTATTTAGCTATTATTAAGGAAAACCTAATTCATATGAAACTACCTGAAGAAAGAGGATGCAATCAGAGGCAACATCACCCAGCCAGCTGCTAAAAGGGGCATTTTGGTTTGTAAACGGGAACGCCCCCTTCTTCTTATTCGCTCCTGAAATGTTACTTCACCTCCAATGTTTCAAAATAAGATATTCTATCTGTTCTCCGTCTTTTTTTATACAGTTGTTGATCACCTGTGCTCACCCTGCCTTTTTATGTGGTGTTGCTGGTTTGTCGTGTGCGCGCTCCACGCTCTACGAACCTCAGTTTAAGTCCCGCCTCCTGCTTCATCCAGTTTATACAAAAATTAAACTCGAAATGGGAGACTGTCAATGAGGCGGGACACAAACTTTTCTCCACTACTTCGTAGGGGTTGCATGACTTAATTTTTTTTAAGTCGACAGTCAAGTAATGAAAATCGAGTCGACTTCGACTAGTCGTTGATGATGTCATACACCTGAAGCGGCACCGGGGGGGGGGGGGGGGGGGGGGTGTCGGTAGGTTCGCTGGAGTTATTGACAATTAAAATTGCGTCCACATTTTCTAAGTTAACACATCTCTTTTAACAACATAGTCTCTGCATCCTACTTCAGCCCGCTCCCCCCTCCCCCTGCACAGCAGCCGCAAACTCACTGATGCGCCTGCAGCTTTTCCTGCTGCTCTGAACATTAAAATAATTGTTTCATTTTCTGTTCCTCACTTCTGATTACCTTCAATGGTGTCTGTTTGTTGCAACCACCAGGTACAAAAACAAACTTGTTTTTATTTGACTATTTTTCTGTCCTGCCTGTTTATTATCTTCCTGCATCTCCTCTCAATCCTAAAGAAAAACTGCTACCTGGGTTCATATATATTCACCTTATGAGTTACCTTTGAACTGCAGTTCTAAAAGATCTACCGACCGCTAAAACAGCGGAGTACGTGCTGCTCGCCGGCCGACTACAATGGGACCGTTTTTGCTGCGGAGTTCGTGCCGGAGCGGAGATAGTGGAATCTTGGGGGTGCGTCACCGGAGAACAAAACAGGTGATGCGCCTCGCTCCGCAGCAGCGAAACGCATCAGGCACAAATAACAGACAGAAAACATTAAAGGAAATGAGCCAACATGAACGATCGCGTTTAATTTGTTTTTGAGGTGGTGACACCTGATTTGGCCATGCTCAGGACGCAGATGTCTGGAGCGCACGTCAACGATCAGAGCTTTGCATGCGCAAACTGGTTAAGATTAGGATGGGGGTGAGGGGAAGGTAAAATTGCAAGCGGGAAAAGGTCACAGTTTGGTTAAATGTCCGTTTTACCGCTGGTGTCAGTGCCGACGCTCTGGCACAGCGTGTCGCCTCCGCCGCCTGACGCGCAGGGGCTTGTCACCTGCTGTCTTTTCTGATGACTGCATCTTGTCAGTCATTATCACGTGACAGCGACTAGTCGATGAAAGGCATAAAAAGTCACTATAGAGCCGTGAAGTCGACTAGTCGACTAGTTCATACAACCCCTACTACTGCGGACTGTCTCATGAGAAGCTCACCCAAAGCACCGCACCTAGACAGGAAGGAACCAGTGGCTTTTCAAAATAAAGTAAAATTTCAATGTTTCATCATATTTCAGTTCATTTCAAACTACAATTATAGTTATTATATGTGCGCAAATATTGAATATATATTTCACGCTTTACATTGTTTTACAATAGAGTAAAGGGTTACGATTTGTTATGGTTGGACTCTTATGTTGAAGGGGGTGTTCTTGGCCGGTTGTATGGAGCGTTCTGGTTCGGTTGTTTAGAAAGAGAAGAGGAGCTAGTTTGAAAGGAGATTGTCAACGTTTTTCCTGGAGTTAAGGCGTGGGCTGCGGTCAACAGTAACCTAAAATAAAGATCCGAAACAGAAAGAACAAGTTGGAGTCATTACAATGTCTATAAAAATCAGCAAAATGTATTCTATAGGTGTGACGGCTTTAGCCGTGGCAGTACGCCACAATCAATTGGTGTAGACTTTTATTTTGACAAACGTAGTTGGAAAAATAATATTTAAATGCCTATTCTGATTGGTTAGTGAAAAGCTACAGTAACACCCATTAAGGCGTTTCTGTAGCCCAAGCAGAAACGCCCCGGCTGGACCCTGCTCATCAGGGGGCAACAATTTTATAGAAGGAGCCCTTGCCCCCCCCCCGCCTCATACTTAGCACCACCACTGATTAAAGAGTGTATTTTTCCATTCTGTCTCTGAGTCGTGTGATAATTACATAAAATAATAATAAGATATTTCTTATTCAATCATCCAGCTCTGGACGGAGCTTCAGGACAGACGATGCAGCTTCATGGAAATTCCTGAAAATTTATTTGGATCCAACAAATTAAGCAAACAAATGTCAAAAAAAACTTGGCAGAAAAGCGTTGATCCCATAAAGTAAATTCCCGTTCATTTATAGACTTTATGTGACTTTCAATTAATTTAAATTCTGGTTCTCTAATACAAAAATAAAAAACTGGGTCTAAATCAGGGTGACTTGCTTCAAAACAATCCATCCAGAGAAGGAAAATGGTAAAACCCTGGAAAGGTAATAAAACCTTTTATCCACCAAATTTAACAATTAAAGATACATTTTTGCTGCATCAAGTGCCACATTTACAGAAACCTCATGAACTTCAAAGTTCATGAATCAATTAATAATCAGGAAATAGAGTTAAAACCTGGCTTCAAAATCAAACGCTGGCTTTGGGAAAAAAAATCAAGGATAGTTTAAATGCAAACGCTGCTTTGGGCAGTGGCTGTCATATGTTCCAAATTATACCAGATTATTGTATTAGACAGATAACCTTTAGCCTAACCATGCCATCAAAGGGTTGATTGTAGTTTGTTTTATTAGTCTGAGCTTAAAGCATCTTCTCTCCAAATAAATGTTTAATTTCATTATTCCTGACAGCTACGGAATGTCTACAATCCTTCAGGAACTTTCTATTAATCTATTATTCCCATTTCTTCAAGCCTTCAATCCACCCACTGTTTCTTCTTTAGCTGTTTAAAAACCTTTACGACTCCCTTAAACATTTCTAGGTTTAAAGCATTCCGAATAAAATGGAAATGTCAAGAAAAATAAATATTAATATATTAATCAAATTTAGCAAAAGTTCCAATGAAATTCTTTATTTTGTTTATTATTATTTTAACCAAAGGTTCTGGATGTGTTTTTACAGGGTCAGCTAGACATGATGAGACATTTTAAAGATAAAAGGAGCTAGCTTTTAGCGTTTCTGTAGACGCATCTATAGCTGCACAAGGAAGTTCCACTCCTTCACAACAAGAGTCAGAAACATTAAACATCTACTTGAAAATAGCTGAGGCTTATAAAACAGTGTAGTAATCATGTTGTCCAATAAAATCTAGCAGGCAAAAGGTTCCATAAACTGTTGTATATGCTTCTGATGTTCTACCTGGTTGTATGAGACTCTTATTGTGAAAGACTGGAGGAAGTTTCTGGTTCCACTGTGCTATAAACGTAGCCATATGAATAAACTGTCTCATTATTTTATTTCATTACATCTATTTTCTGAAAACTGTTTGTGGACCTCTTCTTGACATTTACGTTTGACTCTGTACTTTATAATATCTTGACTAATTGCTTTCCATTTTTTTTTATTTCTCGACATTTCAGATTTTTTTTCTGAAAGTCATATTATGACTTTATTTCTAAAATAATCTTCCAACTTTTAGTCTGCATTTTGACTTTAATCCCTACACCTTCTTGTTTTGCCCTGATGCTGACTGCCTAAATTAACTGTCAACAGGCTTCAACCCAAGAAAGCAATATGCTTTGAGTATTTTTGTACCTCGACTAAGCATGCCAACTAACATAAAATGTTTTACCCATTTAAAGAAAACAAAAGGTTTTAACAATTTACAAATGTGAAACAAAATTGGTTATATGTACAGTGGGGCAAAAAAGTATTTAGTCAGCCACCGATTGTGCAAGTTCTCCCACTTAAAATGATGACAGAGGTCAGTAATTTACATCATAGGTACACTTCAACTGTGAGAGACAGAATGTGAAAAACAATCCATGAATTCACATGGCAGGATTTTTAAAGAATTTATTTGTAAATCAGGGTGGAAAATAAGTATTGGGTCACTTCAAACAAGGAAAATCTCTGGCTCTCACAGACCTGTAACGTCTTCTTTAAGAAGCTTTTCTGTCCTCCACTCGTTACCTGTTTTAATGGCACCTGTTTGAACTCATTATCTGTATAAAAGACACCTGTCCACAGCCTCGAAAAGTCAGACTCCAAACTCTACTATGGCCAAGACCAAAGAGCTTTCGAAGGACACCAGGAAAAGAATTGTAGACCTGCACCAGATGGGGAAGAGTGAATCTACAAAAGGCAAGCAGCTTGGTGTGAAAAAATCAACTGTGGGAGCAATTATCAGAAAATGGAAGACATACAAGACCACTGATAATCTCCCTCGATCTGGGGCTCCACGCAATATCTCATCCCGTGGGGTCAAAATGATCATGAGAACGGTGAGCAAGAATCCCAGAACCACACGGGGGGACCTGGTGAATGACCTGCAGAGAGCTGGGACCACAGTAACAAAGGTCACCATCAGTAACACACTACAACGGCAGGGAATCAAATCCTGCAGTGCCAGACGTGTTCCGCTGCTGAAGCCAGTGCATTTCCAGGTCCGTCTGAAGTTTGCCAGAGAGCACATGGATGATACAGCAGAGGATTGGGAGAATGTCATGTGGTCAGATGAAACCAAAGTAGAACTTTTTGGTATAAACTCAACTCGTCGTGTTTGGAGGAAGAAGAATACTGAGTTGCATCCCAAGAACACATACCTACTGTGAAGCATGGGGGTGGGAACATCATGCTTTGGGGCTGTTTTTCTGCTAAGGGGACAGGACGACTGATCCGTGTTAAGGACAGAATGAATGGGGCCATGTATCGTGAGATTCTGAGCCAAAACCTCCTTCCATCAGTGAGAGCTTTGAAGATGAAACGTGGCTGGGTCTTCCAACACAACAATGATCCCAAACACACCGCCCGGGCAACAAAGGAGTGGCTCCGTAAGAAGCATTTGAAAGTCCTGGACTGGCCTAGCCAGTCTCCAGACCTCAACCCCATAGAAAATGTGTGGAGGGAGTTGAAAGTCCGTGTTGCTCGGCGACAGCCCCAAAACATCACTGCTCTCGAGAAGATCTGCATGGAGGAATGGGCCAAAATACCAGCTACTGTGTGTGCAAACCTGGTAATGACCTATAGTAATCGTTTGACCTCTGTTATTGCCAACAAAGGTTATGTTACAAAGTATTGAGTTGAATTTTTGTTATTGACCAAATACTTATTTTCCACCCTGATTTACAAATAAATTCTTTAAAAATCCTGCCGTGTGAATTCATGGATTTTTTTTCATATTCTGTCTCTCACAGTTGAAGTGTACCTATGATGAAAATTACTGACCTCTGTCATCATTTTAAGTGGGAGAACTTGCACAATCGGTGGCTGACTAAATCCTTTTTTGCCCCACTGTAAGTAAAAAGATGGAACCTAATCTGAATCTCTGTTTGCAGATGATGTGACGGTGTTTATAACAGATAAAATGTATAAAACCAGGCTTCTGTTTCAATTCAGTGTTCGTCTCTTTGAATATTTCAACTAAATCAAAAGGTTCTTCTGGAAAATATTGCTGCCCCCTTGGTCTAAACCAGTACTGTCCAGTCCTGGTCCTTGGAGACTCTCATCCTGAATGTTTTAGTTGCTTCCCCGCTACAACACAATAGTTAAAGAATTCCTTTGCAGGTTTTTAAGTTCTGCAAAAGCCTGTAAATCATCAACTGATTCAAATCAGATGTGTTGGAGTGGATAATCCTCTAAAACCTGCTGGATTGAAAAACCAGGATTGGACTCTGATGTTCTCAGTACTATTTGGCACCCTACATCGCATCCTAAATCTAAAATATCTTTGTATTAGGCAAGTTAAAGCAGCAATACTGTTTAAAAAGGTTGCTGAGCAGATGTTAATGATGGGAATGTTTAGGTATACTACAGAAAAAACAGTACATACTGGTTGAAACTAAGTACCCTCTACAAATATTTCTAGCTGTTTCCTTCGTATGCTCTTTCAGGTTCCAACAAACACACTACCATAGAACCAGTTTAGGCATCGGTTTATCAAGAAATGATCTCACAACATCAAAAATCATGTAAAGCACCAAAAATCCTTACAAATCTCTTAACATGATCCAAATTCAGCCATAAACCACCTCTGTCTCTGTGTACAACCTTGTGTTGCATTAATTTGGTACCAATTAACACACCATCAGTCAGAATTCATATTAAGTAACAGAACATGACCAGTGACTATTCAATATTTCCTTTTATCCTTTTTATTCAAAGATTTACAATCAATAATCTGTGAAATCTGCAAGAAAACTTGGATTATATTCTTAAATTACAAAACACAGAGTAAGGGCAGAAGGAGATGGAAGTCCTACCTGAAGAGCTGCCTGTCAGCAGTCTGGGAGCAGAGGCGGAAAACTTGCGCTGTAGTGCATCGGCTTTATTATATTACCACAAAATGTGACCCAAGCGGGCCGCAGGAGGGTGGAGATGGTGGTGTGACCAGAGTAGGCAGGTCACTTGATGACTTTATAACAAATGAGGACAAGTTATGAACTGTTCTATTAAAAGAGTGTGTTTGCATTCTGTTTAAACAAGTTCAGACAGGGACACATGAAGAATGCAACATTTTAGGATGAAGGGAAAAAAAAACAAAATTGAAGCCAAAACCAGCTATTTTTGGGGTAATTGGACACAAAATTCTATTGTAGAAATGTACAATATGATTAGAATGTCTACAGAGTAAAAACTCAACATGGCAGTAAATAGTGGTCTGAAACGTGCAAACAAAGTAGTCTGCTGAGAAAAAAATGTTTCAACATTTCTGTTTGCTAATCAGTGGTCAGACATTAATCCATCCAGAATCTCTTTATGGAAACAAAAGGATCAGATCGATGCCAAGAAACCCAAAGGTCATCGCTGGAACTTGTTCAATAGGAAAAAGACAAATGGTTGAAACATTCTTGCTTATAAATACAAGCATCTTATTGTTTAGCTTGGTTTGGATTTGTTAAATAAATACGAATATTTCCTTATTTATGAGCTCATGAAGGGAAAAGGAACTAGCTATTAGCTTTTGCTGTAGATGCATTCATAGATGCACTCGGAACTTCCTTAAGTCCTTCACAATAAGAATCTCAAACATAAAACACCTAGATGAAAATAGCTGAGACTCATAAAACTGTTTATTAATCCTGTTGTTTGATCAAATCTAGCAGGCAAAATGTGCAGTAAACGTATAAACTGTGGATGTTTTGATGTACATCTGTTTGTATGAGACTCTTATTGTGAAAGACTGGAGGAAGTTTCTGGTTCCACTGCAGACACTGCTATGAACGTCATCACTAAAAAAACACGTTCAATGGGAAAAACAGAGATTATTGAAGCATTCTAGCTTACAAATAAAATCATAATTTTGTCTAGTTTGGTTTAATTTTAGTAAACAAATAAAAATATTTCTTTATTTATGAGCTCATTTGTTCTTTACACGAGTGTTGTTGGTAAAATGTCACAACTAATTGAACATTGAGGTAAATTGAAGAAGACACAAGCCGACACGGTTATTTCACATGTGAAAGAGGACATATAATAAATGGTGGAAGGAGTTGGTGCCTCACACCCAGACAAGAGGAGTTCAGATGAGGAAACTAAAGAAAAGGAAGAAAGGATTTTTTTAATGCCTCTCAAGAAATAAATCATGAGGTGCTTCACAAGAACCATAAAAATAAATAATAAAAAATTAAACCAGATTGGGGGAGGGGTGAAATTCTTCTTTTCTCAGTCCATAATATGTATTAAAATGAACAGTTGAAAAATTACTACAACTCATTCAATAAAATGAGAACTAATAAAAGTGATGGCTATGATTTTAGCTCATATTAAACCCACAGTGAGTGTGTGAATGAGGAAGTGAAAGAGAAAATGAACAAGAGATCCAGCTTCTTCTAGCATGCTAACTAGTTTTCTGTATCGGGGCACTATTAACCAGCGCCCCTGAGACACTATTTGCACGGATGCTGATTGGCCCAAAATTCTACAGTTCTCCCTGGAAACCAGTTGTGATTGGCTGTTTAAATGCAGTTCAGGTGAACTTTTCCCTGAAGCTCATGAGTGAAACTAGTGAGTCTAAGGGTGTCTCTCAATGTCAAGGCGCCTGGCCTCGTGAGGCGATGTCTGGCGAGGCCAGGTGCCTTGCTTACGAGGGCACTGTACTTCCTTGGTCAATCAAAAACCCTTTTTAGAAGACACACAATGCCAGCAAATCAGCGTAATACTGCCGCCACAGTGTGTTTTTTGAACGCTCCATTGTGGCATGGCATTGCGGGAATTTTGCAGCATCCATGCCACCATGCTCGGTTGTAATATTGCTGCAACACTGGACTTGTGAATGCATATTACGCCTTGGCGCAACAGAGGGAGATGTCATGATCACGTGGGAAGTTACTGCCGAGGCCAGCAACTATATTAAAATTGAAGGTAAGTTTTGTTTTTTTGAACAGAATCAACTGCGATGATAAATTAGAGCGATGCAGAGCTTTAGGAGCTTCTCTCTGTTAGCGCTGCTGGTCAGATCACCAGAGACTGCACAAGGACTGTGGAGGACAGACGCCTTGAGAAGTAGGTTGTCAAAAATACTTAAAGAGCAAGTCACCCCCAAATCAACTTTTTTCTGATAAATTATATAAATGCATGTCTAATCGTGCTGCAGACACGTGTAGTCAATAGTTTAGCACTTTAGTGCATTTTAGTTAAAATTTAAAATTTCTGCCTAAAACTGTCAGTGTTGTGCCGTTGTCAGGTAAAAACTCTGCACTGCATTTGAATTTAAATCTGCCATCGCTATTGGCTAAGAGGTAGCCTAGAACATTAGCTGGTGCCATACGATGTCACAACGTCGTTGTGAGCCTGTGTGTGTGTGTATTTGTTAGCTGTTCTGCTCTCTCGGTCTGCTAGGCAACAGCATTTGTTGCATTTTTCAAACAGGAAGTGGGAGTGGAGTAATACTCTGGTAGGGGGTGACTTGCTCTTTAATGAGCGTGGCTTCAATCACAATAAAACGCAAGTTATGTCCACGTTAAATGGATGTCCACAGCAAAACTGAGACTGCCCCTATACCCCCTTTATACCACCATCATGTAATCTTTTGTAAAAATAAATAAATAAATAAATAAAAGGACAGGATTGCACCACATTACCGCCATGGTCTGAGCACTTATAAACGACCCAAGGCTACCTGATGCCGTCATGGTGTCGTGGCAAATTGGTAGCATTGTTTTCTAAAAAAAGGCTCAATAGAGCCCCTTTGGGATGCTGTGAAATCAGAGATTTGCATCATGGATGTGCAGCTTACAAATCTGCAGCAGCTGCGTGATGCTATCATGTCATGGACCAAAATCTCTGAGGAATGTTTCCAGTACCTAGTTGAATTCATGCCACGAAGTATTAAGGCAGTTCTGAAGCAAAAGGGGGTCCAACACGGTACTATCCAATAAAGCAGCCAGTGAGCGTATATTATCGTTTTATTTACTTTTTAGATTTTTCTCTTTACTAATCTGGGAGGGCGGCGCCCCAGTGCCCCCCATGGACGAGCCACTGCTGACTAAAACTAATGTTCGAACAGCTGTAGGGCAAAAACTAGAAGTTGTTTAGAATCAATAGTGCAAGCAGCACAAGGCTCTGATGGTCACATGTGACTTTTTGTGTTTCCACAATGTCGTTTGTAGGAGATGGTCCTTGCGTTACCATACTTGGCTCATCTGGACTCATAATTTTTACTTGTGTGTGTGTGTGAGTCTGTGTGTGTGCGTGTGATTGCATATGTTTGTTAATGTTTTTAACCTGTTATGGGAATCTGGGGTCATTTTGTAAAGCACTTTGAATAACACTTTGTTTGAAAAGCGCTTTAGAAATAAAATTTGATTGATTGATTGATTGATTGAGATCATCGACATATATACGTAGGAGATAGGTTTGGGTTAAGAAGTTAAAAAGTCCCGTGATTTCCAATTGAGAAGAGAATGTTTTGAGCTGCAGAAAGCTGAAGTCTGAAGACTATGCGGGGATTTGAGAGGAACCAGTAGAAACAAAGCAGGTGGAAGAAGAGAAGTATAACTATGTTTAGATTTTTGATGTATTTGTAATAAAAAGGCTGTGGAAAATAAGCAGCCTTCACAGAGCGATTTTACAAAAATAAAAAAACATCAAATATATCAAAAGTCATATAAAGTCCAAACTTCCTGTGACCTGTTTGAACTCTGAATGATGTTGGGGCTATGAATCCTACCTGAGCTTTAGAGCTCTAAAGGGGGCGGGGCTTTCACAAAATCCTGTAGTTGTTTATGGGGGAAATATCTCAGTTTCTTGCAAGTTTTGTCAAAGTTGTACAATAAATGTCATATTTTAAGCTGTGGGGATAAAAAAGGCAAACAAAAATAATTACATTTCCTGAAAATATATTCTACAATCACAATCAATGACTGCCATTTAATTCTAATAGTTACTTTGACGTTTTTTCATCACAAGATAATTTATGCTGTCACAACAGGATACCTACCTCAGATCTGTTTTTTTATTTATTTATTTATTTATTGCTTTTGTTGAAGCAGATGCTTTGTTGTGAAAATCCTTTTTCCTAAATCTAATAAGGTGGCTGGTTTAATAAGATTAGACGGATTCCAGAGACGAAGGTCAGGTTTTTGGACTCGTGGACCAAAAATGTGCTTATATTTGGTTGACTAATCAACAGTGTTGGGAGTAAAGTGTTACAAAAGTAACAAATTACTGTAATACACTGCTTTTTGCTGTAACAATGAAATGTAAGGCATTACAAAAAAGTATGGTAATATTCCACTTGATACAGTAGTCAGTAATGCTTGTTGCAAAGCATTTTACCCCAGAATTGAAGTGGTGGGTTTTCTTCAGGGTTCGGATTAGCTAGAGGGAGCCCAAAAAAGATCCAGTTTCTACCTGTGATAGAGAGAGAGAGAGAGAGAGAGAGAGAGCGTGTGCGTGACTTCTATTTTAGCCTAGTTTTTTATCTTACTCACATTTTACGTGAGTGCAAAGTCAGTTTCGTCGTACACCTGTGCAATGACAATAAATTATCTTGAATCTTGAGTCTAGAATGCCTTCTCCAGGTCAGGGATGATGTCCTGACCCAAGTGGAGGAGTTAAGTATCTCGAGGTCTTGTTCGTGAGTGAAAAAAAGATGGAACGTAAGATGGACAGGTAGATTGGTGCTTCGTCTGCAGCGATATGGGCGTTGTACCGGTCTGCTGTGGTGAAGAGAGAGCTGAGCAAGAAGGCGAAGCTCTTGCTTTACCGGTCGATCTACGTTCCTACCCTCATCTATGGTCACGAGCTTTGGGTAATGACCAAAAGAACAAGATCACGGATATGAAATGAGTTTTCTCCGCAGGGTGGACTCTTCCTTAAAAGGGTGAGATGCTTGGTCCTTCGGGAGGGGCTCGGAGTAAATTTGCAGCTCCTCCACATCGAGAGGAGCCAGTTGAGGTGGCTCGGGCGTCTGGTCAGGATGCCTCCCGGACACCACGGTAACATTCCAAAGTTCGCCATACCTAAACAAAATAATTAACACACAATCGTTCATGTCCCTTCATGTTCTCTGGTACTTTCCTGGTACTTTCTCTGGTACTTTCTCTGGTACTTTACTTTATATTCATGCCTGATGCGTTCTGCTTCAGCGGAGCTCAAACCTGTGCCGGTGTCGGTACAAGATCTGCTCGGGTGCAAGATCGACTCGGGTCCGTCGACTGCCGATGACGTCTAAGTAGTTGATTGGCTGAACATGAACCTTACGGAATTACGTAATCACGTAACGTTGTTATCACGT